ACGGTGGCTGCGATGATGGGCTCAAGTATAGCAGGGATTGTGGGGCTGGCGCGGGATCGGGCAGTGTTTGCTGTGCATGGGGTCGCTATGAGTCGGAAACGACTCGACGGCACTTAACAACAACAACAACATTTTGTTTTCAAAGGTGGTGGACTTGTTTTTTTTGTAGCCCTAGTGTTGACTGTCAGGCTAGGTTTGTACTTCTAAAGAGTCAGAAATCAAAGAAGTGTAGTTGGGTCATGAGCCATGAATACTTACATCAGAAGAGCCAGATCTAGAAAGAGGAATAAGCTTCATGTGGTATGAATGAGGATACATATGAGTTTTGAGTGGATATATATCACATTCAAGGAATGTTGAAATGGTCTTTGGCTACCTGTTATTTGCTGTTAGTCTCATCCATTCTCTCCTTCCCCAATATAGCACGCTACATAAATGATACATAAAGTATCATTTCTCCTGTTTCTAGAAATGTACTCTACAAATATTGGTGCAGTATAGTGTAGTTGTGTAGATACGTGTAACGTGTACAGATTAGTATAATCAGCTAATTTCTGAATGCCTAGGAGCATACAATAAGGATTGTACAAAGAGCATTGTTGTTATGGTTGAGTGACATTGGCTTTATAATAAAAAACTTCCACTTTGAAGTAAGATCCCTCCCTATGATTAAGGTCTTTGGTGTTTTGTTATTGTTATTGTTTTTTCTTTAATTTATTGATTCCTCTGAGGCAGTCACAGAAGGTTCTACAAAATCTGAAGAAGACTATTTCCAATAATTGTCTTGTGTGTTATAAAGGCTCATTTAGCATTTTCACTCAAACTGTTGGTTTCTGTTTGTACATATCTGCTACGATGTAAGATTCCTCATCCCTTTAATTGCATAAGCCATGATTTCTGATCCCAGTTCAAATTCTGTTATCAGTGGCAGAAGCAGCTCATAGACCTCTACCACCAAGGGGTTAAGCTCTTTTATCAAATATGTTTATGAGGGGCATAGCTTTGCTGCCGGTATTGTAACTGCTTTTTTTTTTTTTTTTTTTAACTTTCTAGTTCACTAATCAAATGTATGTTTGATTGATTATTGTAAAAGTATAAACCATAGAAAATTTGACAAGATAGATGTGTAAATTATCCTTCTGACAGAACTAATGATGCACTCCAAGCACCTTCTGTTTTCTAGTGCTTGGTGAGCGACTTCATTAAATATGCAATGGCTGTTGGGTGGCTTCTCAGACGATGGTTCAGCTCCTTGTGGAATTGCACTATTACTAGAGGTGTAAAACCAGGCTGACAAGCTAGCTGTTGGGCATCCTGCTGAGGTTCTAATGTGCTCCATCTTGTTGGAGCAGTTGTTTGCAGTCTTTTCAGGACAATTACATCCATAACCACAGGACACATTCAGTGAAACTATATTACAGATAACAGTGGAGACTGGCATTGACTGCTCTTCACCCCTCTTTTGAGCAGCGTCAGTGTAGGCAGCTTATAGTAATGCCATTGCTACCTTCACAGAGTAGCCGTTTCTTTATTTTTAATCCTTTGGGGTAAATCTGGAAGTAACAGATTAGCAACTTTTTCAAAGTATATAAAAACCATAAAATATGAGAGTTGAAGAAACTTTATAACTCATGGATTGCCCATTGTCAGTGAGAAAACTGAGGCCAAAGCATTGTGGTGGATTGTTCTTTAAGGAGGTAGTAGGAGACTTGGTAGAACATCATACGTAATAGAGATTTCACGAGTAGGAACTTACACTGTTGGTCTTCTGGTTTTAGAGTTCTCTTAAACAAAATTGCTCCTATTCCCCATCTTAATACCAGCAGTGTTTTTGTTTTTCCCTAGAAGCCAAGCAGAAAAATTTTGTGCTCTAAGAGTGTCTTGCTATTTATTATTTTTATGACAATTTGATAGTTTCCTGCAGAAGTGGACATAAAACATGGTTTGAAATGGTATTTAAGGTTTCCAAAAGGCAGATGTTCCAGTGGCTCATGGCAGCCTGATAAATGGGAGAGCATTTTAGAATGACAGGCTGAATGCTTTAATGAAAGGTTTCTCATTTTGGTTAGCCAGTTAAATCACTGTTGATGACTTTGAATCATTAATGAACATTTGTGGAAAATGACCATTTGAATTCAGTTATTACAATAATGTGTGTGTTGAGAAGTACCAACCACAAATAATTCTAACCATAAATTAAAAGATTTTTCTGTTTCACCACAGTACAGCATATTATGTTTTGTTTTTTAATGTCAATGAAAGTACATATTCTTTCTTATAAAAGGTCTACCTAGAAAAGGTTATATTTTTTGTTAAGTGCCTTTTAGAATAAATTTACGCTGCTAACTTATGTTACTTCATTATTTGCCAAATAAATTACTAAGCCCTAGAAAAAAGGGGAACATAAAATAGTGTATAAAAAGCAGAAGATTAAGTTTAAGATGGGTTAGGAATTTTATCTATTTAGTTCTTCAAAAGATATCTTAATTCTGGAAAAACAGTAGTAAGAAAGTAACCATTGTTTGAGAATATGCAAATTTACTTTAAAGTAATACCAAAAGAAGAGTGTAACCAGAAAATTCCGAAACCAGCTTTTTCCTTGTGCCTAGTGAGGGACAGATCATCTTCTTTTTTTAAAAAAGCTTTTATGCTTCTTAAAATATATCTGTCATTTGTGTTATCCTGTATCCAACAAAGTCATCTGAAAATTATGTTTTTCTTCAGCTAGCTTCATTTTCTCTGAAGCTTGGACCTGTTTTGGTAGTTAAGACAGGGTGTGTGTTTTTTTGAAATGCATGTTTTTCTCATTTTATTATTTGTAAAATAGTCCATAATCTCAGTCCAAGCCTCCTTCATCTCCATTTTGTAGTTTACAGGGAAAGGAGACTCTGTGGTGCACAGGCCTCCCCTGGGAATACATTGGGCTTAATGAGCTCGATAGTCTGGTGGGCTCAATAAATCAAATAAAGCAAAACATTTCTCATTTTTGAATAAAAGCATTTATCACACGGTGTTTGTTCATTCATGGTCACAAGATTGATTGGTTCCCAGCATCATAGTGTATATTGAAGCATTTTTGATTTTGTTTTTCCAGTGGGCAAGTTACGGAAGCAGTGGCTAAAGGAAAGTATCTCTGATGTCGGCTTTGGGATGCTGAAATCTGTCAAGGAGTATGTGGACCCCAATAACATCTTTGGAAACAGAAACCTTTTATAAATTCATTACTATTGTTATGAAGAAATGTCACTTTTTTTTTTTTTTTTTTTTAATTCTTCAACTATGGTTATACCAGTAATCAAATATATCATGGACTGTATTTCGGCTATATTTGTTTGTTGGTTTTGAAATAAGTTTGTTTTCATTCTGTAGTTTGTTTTATTTCTACATCTGTGGATTGGCAGATGGTATTCCTAAATCTCTCTCATTGTAGGTGCATCAGTTTATAGCCAAATGGTTATCATTTCAAGTTTTACTCAGGCAGCACAAAGCTGTCAGTTGTTAAAGCCAAGGAAGATTCTGCAAGCTGTTTTGTATTGAAGGGTCGTCTTGGGGAACAAAGGCAGATTCTGGTGTCATCTATTCCTTATCTAACCTCTTTTTAAAAGAACGTTTTGGGAAGTAGGTACCTCGTTAGGATTCCACTGAGTAGCAGTCTACATGTGTGCTTTTTAAGAGCACAGTCCAGTGTGAGTAGGCTGTTAAGGAGGGTTTTGTGAAAGAACCACAGGCAGCTTATTATTTGGGATGCCTTGAGTTCTGTCAGGTGCTTGGCCTACATTTTTCTTTGTAATTAGTATACAGATACAAAACCTTAAATCATCAGTATACAAATTATACTGTTAGGAGACATGTTTTTGTTCATGTTTTTGTTTCTACTGAGGTATGAGTTGTTGTATCACCAAGATAACCTACTGTTATATCCTAGTTCATTCACAATGTTTTGTAAGCAAAGCTGACTCATTGTACGTGAGGAACAGGTTTACCATGAAATTAATGTCTTTCTTCACCTTAGAGCCCTAACGTTTCACTTGCGCTGAGATGCAGAGGAATAGCTAAACAGGAGCAGAAGGAGGAAGACTTCTACCCTTAATAATCTCCACTAGGAAGGATTGTGTGACTAAAGACACAGTCATCATCCAGCTATTGAATTTGAAAACCTCAACAGTTTCAGTGACAATTTTTTTTTAAATTAATCCACACAGCATGATAAATTTTCATCTGCAAGTAAAGTTTCCATTTAGTTTTTAATAATGATTTAATGCCTTTTTTGAATTACTGGTTTAACCTAAATTTTAAAAAATTTAATGTAGTAAAACAAATACCATAATCAAAAGTTTGAAATATCATATTTCTTAAAGAACAGGGAGAACATTAATCACATTTAGCAAGCATTTTTACATTCAAACCTGGATATTAAAAATAAGGTAAACGATTACTCTGAATTACTGCCTGTCAAGGTTCATGATTCATATTTTTGAGATGGATTCTTTTCTTAATGCAATAGTTAACTTTTGATAATTTTTTAAAATTACTATTTGATCAGATAATATAAGCCAAAATGCAGACGATCCTGTAAAAGGACACACTGTCTGTCTATGTAGCAGCAGCTCCAAAGTATTTTTGGGCAGTTTGATACCTTTTATATCTGAAATAGCCTTAACCAGAAAAGTGAGAATTTAAAATTGACAAAATGATATTTTTAACACTTCAAAATGATAAATGATTTTTAACTATTAAATTGGCCTCCAACTAAGAAACTTAAATCTGTAAGAAAATCATAATTAAATATTAGTTTAACAACAAAACTAAATATGTTTATTAAAAGCTGCCTCTCTTGATTGGTGATTTATTTTTTAATTATAAAATTTCCAGCACATCTTTGCTTAAAGCCCTTGATTTTTTAAATAGTTGGAAACTTGATGTGGAAATTGCTTCTAAAATTATAAAAATCTCAGCTTTATAAAATGCATTTGTTTATGAAGGTAATTTCTCTAATTAGTGATCAAAATGTAAAATTTAATAAGGTACTGATATCTCACTGGAAGTATATACATGGTTTTGAGTTTTTTGTTTTTTTTTTTTAATAAAATTTACAGATCCATAAGCAGATCCACTCCCTCGCATGTGATTGTTATACTTTCCCAGGGAGCTCAGATTTCAACAGCCTCAGAAATCTCTACTTGGTATTTAAAAAAAAAAAAGGCCAAGGCCAAACCCACTGCTGTCAAGTCAGTTCCGCCTCATAGAGACCCTGTAGAACAGAGTAGAACTGCCCCATAAGGTTTATAGGGCTGTAAATCTTTATGGAAGCAGGCTTACTTTCTCCTGCAGTGGCTGGTAGCTTCAAACCCCTGATCTTTCAGTTAGCCGCTGAGCGCTTTAACTGCTGCAGTGCCAGGGCTCCTTTACTTGGGATTAGTAAACTATAACTATAAAAGTACAGCCAGAATGCTAGTTAGAAGCAGGGATAGTAAGACTTTGTCTCACTTTCTTTGAACATGTTATCAGGAGGGACCAATCGCTGGAGAAACATGTCGTGCTTGGTAAAGTAGAAGTTCAGCAAAAAAGAGGAAGACCCTCAAGGAGATGAATTGACACAGTGGCTCCAACAATGAGCTCAAACAGCAACAGTTGTGAGGAAGTCACAGGACTGGGCAGTGTTTTATTCTGTTGCATATAGGGTCACTATTAGTGGGACCCAACTTGAGGCACCTAACAAAAACAGAAAAATAAATGTAACACCCAAAAGCCTTGTGTTCACTATTCTATATGAACCTTAAAGAAATAAGTAATTTATTTTGTTTTTTTGTGTTCCATATATGCAGGATTCCCCAACTTTGACTTTATACAGGTGACTACATTTTGTAGTTGGAACCATTTCTACAGGGATCATTTTGAAACACATGAACGTTAATACTGTTTCACTCTGATTGCGTAAATCAGAAAGCCTTTCTCCCACTTTCACACACTTACTTCTGAGAAGTGTCTCAGTATGTACTTACAGAGGACTGAGTTCATGGATATGCACAGACACATTTAAATATTGCCTCTTACCTCTGAAATATCTGAAAATGGCTTCATAAAAGTTAAATCCAGAGAACGTTTATGTAAGTCTTCTTAACTCATTTTGAATAAGTTTGTATTAAACAGTAAAAGCCTTAACCTATTTGGTTTTTAGTACTGCATAACACATCTTGTCTTTCCTAAATTCGTTATATTTTCCTTAAATTTGGCAGTGTCACATTTGGGTTGAGGTTTCAGTGGGTATAGGAACTTAATGATTGTGAGAAAAGGTATTGAATACAAAGGACTCAACATGAACAGGCTTTATTGACCCTTAGAGAAACAGTTGCCTTGATGTTTGGTGCAATTTACAGTACATAAGTGCATTTCATCTTATGCAAAGTCATTTGAGCTTTTTTAGGAAGGATTGTGGAAGCCACACGTTTATCGTGCCCAGCATTTTACCACAAAGGCCATTAAATTACTTCCTTTTCTAAGGAATCGGGAGTTGTCTTCCTAAAATTGCTTACATACTATATTACTGTTACTTAATAAGAGTAGTTTAAGAAGCTGGTAGCATTTTCGTTTGTGTAGCTCATTGGTGCATTTTGGGAAGCAATAGCTTGATGAAGGATTCGCTTCCATAAGTGTATATACTATACGAAATCCAGAGTGTTGAAAGGAAACCTCTTTCTAAGAATATTCTGTCAGTAATTGCGAAGTCCTAGCTAGCGTTTTCAAAATGCCTTTCTGCATGTCTGTTCCAAAGATTTTCCTTTGTCATGCTCTTTTGTAGTTATAACTTCTTAACCATCGCTATCAGAGGAGCTCTGTAGTCCCAACCAGAAGTGTGCTACATAACCTGTTCAGATGGGGGCTGGGTGATGTAGATCCCGATGACTGACTTGGGTTCATTCACAGAATGCGTACACTGCTGTGTCTGAGGCAGCCCAAGTGGAGCGCTGTGGAGAGCACATCTACAGTTTAAGAAACTGAGGCAGAAGTAAAGGACAGCTTAAATAATTTTTTATTCACCATTTAATCTTCAGTAAGGCATTTGACTGCTAGCCAGAAGGTTGGTGGTTCAAACCCACCAGCCCCTTCTCAGAAGGAGGATCAGGCAATCTACTTCCATAATGATACTGCCTCGGAAACCCAAGGAGAATAATTCATGTTTATATACTAAAATCTGGAAAGTATAAAAGGTTTTCTCAAACTGTTGAAATACAGTATCTGATATGAAGGATATAAGTTACTCAGCTTTCTGCTTCCTAAGCCAAACAGTGTTTGTCTGTAGTGTGAAATTTAACTGTAAAAATTACTTGTAATGTCAAGAGATTATAGAGACTTATATTATTAATAAAAAAAGACCTGAGTTGAGTAACAATTTTTTTTCTTCAAAGGGAGTGTGGAACTAGTGGTTCTTCTGTTTGCATATGAGTTTCTCTTTCCATTTTAGTTTTTCATCTTCACCCATACTGCCATGGATTTGAAAGTGGAAAATTCTTTTTTCTAATTTCATTGATGTAGCATAATCACTGTGTGCAACCTAAATATGACTACCCCTTTCAATTTATAGCTGAGCAGATTAATGTTAACTAGGTTTTATCTATCTCTAATTTTCATTTTTAAATCAATGTTACATTCTTAGGAGGTGTTTAGTCTCCTGTGAACTTGAAGCATTCCCTCTTGAACTTTGGAAGATGCTCAAAGAGTGAGCACTCTTGTGCTCTATTAACCACTGCAGTTAATTCCTTAATAAATGTGATTAAGGACCACTAATACATATATAACATTCAAGCCAAAGAACCATCAAAGAATGAAGTAATTTTAGTTCTGTGAACATGGAAATATTCCTTTTGATTCCCAAAGGAGTTTGTTTTACACATTTTTCCATAGAGAAGAAAATTAATACATTAAGTATCATTAACAACATTTTCCAGAGACTCTGAACTTCCAAATCTGAGAGAGAGAGAAGGAGAAAAAAAAATTGTTTTACTGTGGATTTTTTGGCAACATCATACATGTTTTTAAGACATCTTACTGTTAGTAGTGTTTTCCTTTTCATGAACAACACCTGTAAAAATGTTGTTTAATGCTTACAATGTGCTTGTTCACATAGCCAGAAAGGACATGAAATGATCCTACTAGTATATAGTTTCTATAGTTATTTTTTGAGCTACTTAAAAGAATATTCCCAAAAGCTCACAGTGCCTTGTTGGGATTTTTTGTTTTCATGAAATAGCCATGATTTAAAATGAGTGGGAGAGGATAGTTTTTTAAAGACAGAGGTTGTTTGAAGGTTCAAGG